AGAGAGAGAGAGAGAGAGAGAGAGAGAGAGAGAGAGAGAGAGAGAGAGAGAGAGAGAGAGAGAGAGTGTGTGTGTGTGTGTGTGTGTGTGTGTGAGTGAGTGAATGATTAAGAGAGAGAGGGAGACAAGACAGACCGTGGAGGGGCTATTTGTAGAGGTCACGATATCATCCTGATCCTCTAACGGGGGAGCGTGGCGACTCTCATCTAGGGTATGAGCAGTGTTTCTCTCCAAGAAGGACTCGAATACACTATGGATAACACCGGTGACTTTTGAGCTGAATTCAAACGGATTTGCCATGATGACTTTGAGCCTAAGAGTATCTAGGACTTTGCATAAGACGCTGACCACAGGATTGAACAGGCGTAAGGTTTGATGGATATGTGACAGAAAGTTGTACAGCATGATGATATGTACGGTCAGGAGAAAAGTGAATAAGCGCATAGAGATAGCACTTGTAGCCCGGAAGAGGCTTCGTGATGATGGAAGAAGAAGATGGAGAGGGGGACAAGGAGAGAGAGAGGGGGGGGTTTATAGGAGTAGTCCAAGGCAAGCATCTGTTACTGACCTGCAAACGATGGCATCAGTATACTATTGCTTTAGCTACATGGTGAATGAAGCGACTGACAAATAACCACAGGGGGTCCCTCTGTCAACATCGATCAATGACAATATCAAAGGGAGATAACACAATATCTGTGAGTTAGCAAACACACGAATGACTTTCACGCTCACCTGTCATGACAACCAACAGATCTAGTTCAACTTTACATCAGATATTCAATAAAAAATTCTGGTTATTATGAGGAAAACTGCTGCATTCTAGTAGCTTCCAGCCTTTCATTATGTACGTCTCTGATATCTTAAATGTGTTTCACAAAAAGAGAGTAAGTTAGTCATTATACCCCATATTCCAGAAAGAATATTTGCACGTAACTCTCTCTGGCAAAAGATCATATCGAAGGCTCACGTTGGTACCGGGATACTTTCGAACCCGTCCTGGCCCTCTTTGCGATGTTCAACGATTACTTGGAGCCCTCGTCGTCCACAATAACCGTCATTCCCAGCAATTCGCGTAACCGTCTGGAAAGATCCGCCCCCATCGTCTTTGTCATTCGGCACCCAGACCGTCTCCTCAACAGCCTGACCACGAACTTCTGATCGACGAGGGTTGAACCATGGCATACCCACGAGACGGCTACCAATGTCATGGATAATAGAGTAGAGTTTCTCAAACCGTCGAGTCGTCCACAACCAAGATAGGGTGCGGCTATCGTATGCCACGCGTACGAAGGGGTTCATGTAAATGCCGGTGTCCACGATCTCAGCCCCGTTCGATGGCGGGTTTTCGATGTCGGCATGGATGAGACAGCATTCAGAGGCTTCCCAGAACAAGTCTGGCGCAGAACGAAAACGAACAGGGAATTTTTCTCCTCCCATTTCCACTGCCGGCTTCGCACCGCCTTGAAAGAATCGTGCATCGAATGCCACCATTCCTCCCCAACAACTGCGGACACGCACCGCATCCTTTCCTGCTAAGACATCCCGTCGACTCTGCCCTCCTCCAGCGGAGGTAAACCAAGGGAAGAACGGAAGACCCATGCCGTAGCCCTGCACATCACGCGTTGCATATGTATCGTAGAACTTAAACGGGTTGGAAAAGTCAACAGCGCACGCTGCCCGGTATTGGGCGATACCGTTGTCATCCACGTTAGTAGAGAACAAGAGCTGAAGAGCATCGATTGGATCGAACAAAACGTCGTTGATGTATAGAAGTTTGTCGTATTGCGTTTCAGATTCTTCCAGCGGCCGCAAGGCTCGGTTCCGGACCTCAGCCAAGTAATCGATACGCTTAGTACGTTTAGAACCCCCAGGAATGGTCACCCTAGGCAGGTTACTCAAGTCAAAATGCTCTTCAATTATAATAGACCTATTGCTTGAGACCTGTTTTTCCAGGGCTTGTAGCGCACTCTCCCCCTCCGGTCCACTGTCATTCTCGTAGATACTTAGGAAAACGTTATCCTCGCCAAGCAAGTCGATAAGTTGAAGAACAGTAGAGCCCCATTGTCCTTGCGCTAGCTTCCCACCACGATCATATAAGCTAACAGCTATGAACACCTTCTCGTTATCAGGGTTCCCCCGGCCAGAGGCGCTTGAATGTGATACGGCCGATCGAAGTGCTGTATAATGGGGCGGAGGTCGGGTATATGAGGGTCGTAGGATTGCAGTGAGGATAAGAAGAGCGAGAATGATACCGACAACGGCATGTAGATAGAAACAGGCCCGGCGAAACAGGATGCGTCGCAGACAACTGGGTCGCGCCGAAGCCGAGATCAAGGGTCGGGAGGGTTTGAGACGACGATATCCAGAGTAAGTGGAAGCAAAAACCCGTGATAAAAAGGGCATTCGGCGCAAGAGTCGCCTGGGTCGAGGTGGAACTTGCGACTCAAAGTCGGCCTCGTCTAAGTTGAAGCTCTCCTGAGAGTCAGCAGAGGAACGAGTTTCCAGTTCATATTCGTCGGGATGAAGTAGTCGGGAAGAAGACATGACGAACGATCGTCACATGAATAATAGAAGCATTCACCTAGCCCATATCTGAGGTAGTTTGGCCGAACAAGAAGAGACCCACGCTTCTATCGCCAGACATCAAAGAAAAGTTAACAATCTAGGCTCTAGGCTGAAGCTATTATCCTCCCAAACGGGGATGGTCTGGCTTATGTCAGCCAATCTGGACCGCCAAGATATTTGCTTAAATCGGTGGTGCGGAGAACAACCAATGGATCACATCATCGACCATTGACTTCGGTGTTCGTTCGGACCCTCCAATGCAGGAGATACGAATTGAGACAAAATCCTCCAAGATTGTTTCACTTATATCCATAAACGAAGAAGAAAAGAAAAAGAAAAAGCCCACATGTCACCGACATGTCCCGTATTCCACTTCCTATTCTCGCCGAACGCGAGTACATCGGAAACCCCACCGAGGATAGAGTCATGATCAAGTACTGTCTGTACTGGGGGGATTGTGGAGCACCACCCTCTAGTGACGTATGCGGAGGTTTATATTCCCTCTTCCTCCTCTTTACCTTTCTCTTGTTTCTCTTCTTATTTTCTAAGTTTCATCTTCGGGTAACGTCTTCTGGGTCACGTTCTCCTCATCATTCCTTCTTACCTCCTGCATCATAAACGTTATCTGGGAGACCAAAAAAAGAAAATATCCCAGCCATTATGTCAACATTTGCCTTTGCCAACTCTAGCGAAAAGGTCCCTGGTAATGGAACCCTTCCTGCCGAGTTCACAATAAAAGCCTCTCCGGGAACGGATATATGGTCGAAACCTCCATCCACGGAAAGATTCAACGCTCCCATCCTATACCAGAGCGTCCCGCTGAATTCATTCAAACGGGCTAGGGTTGCCTTCAATGCCTTTTGGAAAGACAAATACGACCAGGGTGGACTCGTCCTTGTTTTGAACAGCGCAAATGGTCCTCAGAGATGGGTTAAGACGGGTATTGAGCTCACTCATGGTAAAGCCCATTTGAGTACCGTTACGAAGGATAGATTTGCGGACTGGAGTTTACAACCGGTTCCGTCAGGTGGTGGAGCAGCAACGCTGGAAATCGTTAGAGAACCAGACAACAGTCTGTGGATCTACTTAGTTGAAGGTGTGCAGAAGAATCCTCTACGTGAGGTTACTTGGTTTTTCGAGGAGCAGGACGTCCAAGATCTCTGGGTGGGTCTATACGCAGCGAAGCCTTCTAACGAGGGCCAGGATCTGGTGGTCAATTTCGGGCACCTAATTATTGACACGGTTTGATCTGGCGGGCAGATAGGCAAACCTGGGTATAACCATTATAGTAATTAGACTCTGTGTGGAGGTAAATTGCTTATTGAACGATCAATTCGTCAACACTCGGGTATAGTGGCAGTGCTATGGACATAGAAGCATGCTAGTGTGGAGATAATATCTGCAATTGTTACCGTCAACTTGTACCAACAACCTAAAATAAACAGTAGGGAGAATAAGGCCTGCATTTATAGCTAAAATACTTTCGTAAGTGCATTAATTGCTGTAACAAAGCCGTTCAGATTTTCCGAAGTCATTTCTAGAGATCAAAGTTGCCCTCAAAACTAGTCGAGCTGCGATTGATGCCGTGCTTTATATCTGATAGACAAGCTTATATGCTGAGATTTTCCCATCCCTATATTTCTGGAAACCACCAGAAATAGCGTCCAATCCGGAAAGCACCTTTGTAACATTCGGCTTGATGGTGCCCTCATCAAGCCACGGACCTAGTTTCACAAACAGTTCACTCGCTAGCTCATGATCCTTTTCAGACGCCTATAGAAGAAATTCAGCATTGGCTGTCATAGCAAACGACTTCTGAATACCTACCGGCCAATAGAGCTTTCCATATCTGTGTTCCTTGAGAGATGCCGTCCACACCAAAACGTCCGTGACATGGGCGTTCTCGGAGGCTCCCTCAGTATTTGCTTTGCCAGGCCGCACTGTGCAGATGCAGCCTTGGGGATCTCTGAACACTTGTGAAGCCGTCGGCGATGAACCTTGATTTCCAACAGTGTCAAAAACATGGTAGATATTGGGGGCGGCTTTTCAGATATCCTCCACCACCTTCTTATCCTTATAATCGAAGACATATTTTGCACCATATGATCGCACTAGTTCTGCATTATAGGGACTATGTGTAGTGATTCCATCGAATCCATAAAGAGAGGCGATTTGAATAGAGTACAGACCAACGCTGGCTGTTTCACATCAGATAGCGTTAGACGATCGAAATCTTTGAAGTGAGAAAGGAGGTCTTTACCTCCCCATACCAGCACACTTGTACCCTGTGCTTTTGTACGGTTGAGATTGAGATAATCTGGGGAGGATAATGCGAGAGGAACTGTGCTAGCATCTTCACGAGAGAGAGTTGTAGGCACTTTGAAAGCAATCTGCTGGTCGGCCAAGCAGTACTCGCTGTATGCACCAAGTCCCTTGGTCTCCCCTCCCCAGATCAATGCCGCTACGATATCACTTTAGTCAATCGCGTCACTTCCGCGCCAACTTGAACCACTTCCCCGACAAAATCACAGCCCAGCACGGTTCTGTCGCCAAAAGCATTGCTGTCAAAAGATTGAACTAAGGGTGGATTATCCCAAGCCTTGCGTAGAATGGAAACAGGAGAGTAGGTGAAACGAAGGGGCCCCTACCATCTGTAGGGTTTTGAGCTACATGAGACATTTTGACAAGCACTTGTCCAGGGCCCGGTGATGGGGCAGGAATTGATTCTTTAACCAGTTTCGGTGACTGGCCTTCGGGTACGCGGACGACTAGGGATGAGCTGTATTGAGTGGACATTATACAGTTCGCTGGTGTGATGAATATATACAACGTCAGGTTTAGTCTAGCGGGAATGATCTCTCAATCTGATTTGAAACAGTGCACCGATTGAGGCGCACGGAGGAACGAGGGTAAGCATGGTTGAAATACTCCTGCGACAGCATTGACACCTTCGGTTCTTTGGTGATTTATGCCCGGAAAACACTTTGATCCTTTACATACAAGTGGAAGCGCCGCTAAGGCTTGGCCATGCGAGTACTTCGGTTCAAGGTACGAGTATTAGAGGGGTGGCCCCACAGATAACTTCAGGGACTATCTTGCTTACCCAACGATCCTTGAATGCTCGCATTTGATACTGGGGATTATGCTAGGTAGTGGCAGAAAGACCTAACATTGAGATCCGTATCTATACTATCTGCTGTCTTTATATATCGACAAACAAAAATACTTGGCTATATGTATCAGTAACTGATAGCCCCACGAATCAATCGGTACATGTGGAGCCTCTTGGCGGCGGTTGGACTTACTAATTTATAAACCCGAGTAAGCTAGTATCAGCGGATGGACTTGATTTTAACGTTGAGCAAGCTTATACTACAGTGCTTAGAGAGCAAATTGAAATCATAGCCATTAATCCTTTCCACTCTCCCCTAACATCATGCTAGAGTAAGCTGTATGCTAGTCAAAAGATGGCCACGTTCAGGCTGGTATGTACTACTCTTTTTATTACATTTCTTGTTTTGCGCCTTGGGGCTAATTATGTATACATGCATATTCCCAGCCTTCGTTGCCGAAGCTGTCTTAGAAAGTGTAGGTAGATCATAGTACCTATTTATTCTCTGTCCCTTGCACTATATGATATGAGGAAAGGTTACTCACCTCCAACTTACGTTTCCTACGGCCACCAGGTGATGGATCACCCCCCAAGTGTAAGAACTGCGAATCCAATGGCCACACTTGCCAATGGGGTTTTAAGGCCTCGTTCCACTATACGCGCAATCTTAGATTACTAAACCAGGAAGCGGCTACCTTGGCGGTCATTGAGAAGCGATGGCACCGCTTTTTACGATGTCTACAGCAACCCATAAAAGTACGTTATCCAGTTTTCTAATAAGTGTGTCGCTTGCCCAGCTGTTGAATAAGGGTTGATACATAACACGTCTCTTTTCATGCGATTGAGCGCTCTAGATTATTGATGAGACCGACGATATTTTCCGGGATTATTACGTCGTCCATAACACAACCCGGCGTTCACCTTCAAATCAAACTACCAACTGGGAGAATGATCGGAATATAGACCTTACTGGTGAGGTGCAGGATGAGAGAAATTGCCCTACATCTTCCCAGGATAACATGTTCTCCAGGCCCGAGTCAAACTATATCGACCTGCCTGAAATTATCCGGCGGCTTCATAGCGTTAATTTAAGGCTAGCCAGTGACATACCCAGTATTGACAATCTTCTGCCTCAAAGACAGGAGATTGAAGGCTCTGTAAACCCTATCGTTGAAGATTCTGCTTCACATGCCTTATCGGGTTCCAGATGGTATGATTCGTCGACAAATTCCGCCAACCAAACATATATTCTGCCTTTTTCCCTAGGCCCGGCGACCTCTTCCAATGTGTCCTCGCTCCCCAAGCCTTTACTACCAGTAACGGATGCCAAGAAAGCTCCATTGATTTCATCTTATCTGCGGGAAAGAGGGACTTGGTGTGAGACCACAGATACTCAAAACAATTCACAACGCAGAGTATCCACTTTATGATGGAGTCTGCCTCATTTGTGGCGGCTGTCATGTCCCTCGCCTCGCGTCAACTGGACCACATAGTACAGTGTCAGAATTCCGTAACGTTGGAGCTGTATCAATATACTATTCGACTACTTATAGGTCGGGATCCTAATAAGGCGGATGCCTCGGTGCTAGCAACTTGCACTCTGCTATGTCTCCATGAGATGATGGCTTCGAGAGTGTCCGAGCGGAAGCGTCACTTCAGGTATGTTTGGACTTCCTTTGGCCTCAACTTTATCTCTCTGTTTGATATCAAATGAGAAGCGTATATTAATTAGTGCCGTCTACAGGGATGTGCCGGATTCTTTCGAGTAAATAGATGGAGATGTTGACAATGACTGCAACTTGACTCTCCTTGCGTTTGCGAATATAGTCAATCTTATGGCAACTTTCAGTCTGTTCGATAGAATGTCTGAGTTGGAGCTTAGGGCTAGTTGACTGTACTATGGAACGTACTTTAAGAGAGGTATCGACTCGACCCAAACAAGTTTATCCGCTTTTAAGAAGCGACTGCACACCCGCCAATACCCTGTCTAACGTTGTGTTCACTCAGTCATCCTCAGGTAAGTATTCTGCAGATGGTAACGACTAATTGACTGGTCAAAGTCTCTAACGTGCGTGACAAAAATTGTGGTAACACTTTCTACCATTCCCGACTCTATCCTACTGTTGCAGGCAGGGCTTATTACAACAGTGCAGGGCCAGTCGTCTCAGACGGTAAGTAAGTGGAGCTGTTTGTTACTAAGTTCTCCCGCGCCCTCTCAAAGACTATATATATAAGCGTTGGCGCATTTGTGAAGGGGAAGAAGCCGTACACTCTTTTTTGAAAATGCTCAGTAACTGACTATTTGTCTTAAGGCCGACCCTGTATGGCGTGCTCGAGAGTTGATGGGAATATCCATTACAAATATATCAGTAAGCTGTGGCCCATTTCGACCTTTACTTCTCTTCCAATTCCCCCCTTATTGCCCTAAGCCTTATCTGCCCAGCAAGGTATAAGGAAGATCATGCCCTGGCTAGAAAGAATAGGATCAGAAGAAGACAAAGTAACATCAAGCTCAACTAGTGCCAATTGGGTCAACCAATTACAACCTTTATACATCACAGGTACCGTTCTACTAGGCGAATCCCAGATTTCTTATACGCAACAGTCAGGCTGGCCATATGTTTGGCCAGAGGTCCGTCCTGGGCTGCCTTCATCCAATCATTCTAGCGACCAGAACAGTAGCAGTGCATGTTCAGTGGAAGAGTTCGCAAGATATTGCTACTCAAGCACTTGGGCTCGTATTGAACGTGAAACGGGATGGAAGACTTCTGACCGCGCGGCCGACCTGAGAAAATTATGGGGTTTTTGGTAAGAAATGATACCTTGCATCTATAAGGTCTGTTGATGTATGTTGACTTGCTAACCTGGATCTTATGTGGCTCATCAAGTTTGCTAATAGTTTATATGTATATGTAGAGTCGAAGGTTGAAGTAAGATATATTATGATCAAAGCTCAGCCACATGGTCCCACCGGAAACCCGGATATGTGAGAAATTTAAGGATATACAACCGGTCTTATTATGCAGGTCGTACCCAATTTTCTTTCTTTCTTTTTTTTTTTTTTTCTGCAATAGCTCTAGTTGAAATAAGGATATTGGGTATGTATCTAGTAGCTTCTATCCATTCCAAAGCATCACTTAGGTATATCTGTAAGACTTCTCCGTGAGTTACAGACACTTCAGGTCTGCGTTCAGGTGGCATACGTAGTAGTTGCACACGACATGTTTGTAGTAAGCCACATAGTATACGAGTACGGACAACTGGTAGCGCTACCTTGTAGTAGGGAATGAAAGACTTGTTGGGGGGAAGGACACAAATTTAAAAATAGAATACAAAGCTGATGGGTAACTGACAATCACTCTTTGAAACTTATAAATCGATGCTTGCTTGAATTCTACCTGACTGCTGTTAACGAAGTTCCACTGTTAGGCAAATATCTTACGTGGAAGCAACATCTACAAATAACCTACTAACTACGGAGTAATTCAATAAAGCCTACCTTGTTGTTGGGAGGAGCTGCGTGGCCCTGTGGTATTTCCCTTTTTCTTTTTAATTTATTCTTATTCTTCTTCTTATTATTGTTAATATTACTATTACAATTATTTATTTCCTTTTGCCCTAGCGACCTCAAAATCCGTGTTGACTGGACGGTCAAGGCATTAGTTGTGTGAGCAAGTGGAGATTTATTTTAACTTCGGTAGAAGGGAAGGAAAACGAAAACAAGTCCGTTCAGCTCGCGGTACTCGCGGCTTCTGGTGGAAATCGGAACATAATCTATTATCGTGAAGTGACTACGAGGATATTCCCGGTCTATTCAGAGTGGTTATTACTCAGACTGACTCATACCAAGAACCGGTTCTTCTGATGGAGGAGGGGCCGAAGGAATGAGGAGAAATACGAAAAGTAGAGGGTTTGGGGGGGGAAAGAAATAAAAAAAAAAAAAAAAAAAAAAAAAAAAATTTAAGACACATGACATGAGCTGTTTAGTAGTTGGATGATCCTTGAGCGGTATGACCCGAATGTCATCTCCCCCAATCATGAGGCTGGACAGTGCGGGCTTTAGGTAGTTCTCTGCGCTGGGGGATCATTCTCATACGTCCAGTATAGTTGAATAGGGGGTTGCTAACATTCCTGGTTCTTCTCGGCTGTTTTGAATCACTGGGCCTAAGTCGTGCGAACTACTCCGTATTCCTGAAAGACCAATGAAGTCCGAATCGGTATTTCTTGAGTGCTGCAAGGGGAGAAATGGTGGAGGAGCTTTCATTCCAAGTATGATTCGTCAGCTGACCGTCTCTTCTGAGAAAAAGAGACAGGCAAACACAGGCAGAGGAATATTTTATCTGTTGATATTCCTCCATTGATGAAACCTTCCATGGACAATTAAATGCCATTATTGCAATCATTCATCCGACTGATGTCCTGATTCAGGGTAAGGAGCCAACCTATAGGAACCCGTAGCTTCCGTTCGGACCGAACCAGGTGATCTTATCATATCTGATTCTCAAAAGTCTTACCCACCTGCCTAACATCCCTCACACCCTGGTCGCTTTGCCACTTCCTCCCCACTTCACCATTTTCGGCTGCAATCCAGTTTTCTCCCCCTGATCAGTCTCGAACTTACTTTGATCCTCTGCGCTTGAATACACAAACAGGGGACAACTGCGTGCGATACTGTACTGCCCTGTGCGCTCACATGTATGACTGAGGGGTCAATGTGCGCTCGAGTCGGAGGGATAAGCTCTGCCACGACTTTACCCTCTCGCATGAGGCTTTCAAATTTATTCAACTATATCGAGTGGAATAATATAGGCATCACTCTACAAACCCTTCAGTGCATCGGAAACCACCCTACCATTTTGGGCCTCGGGCGTTAAGCCCATAGGCTAAACCTGTGGCCCATCCCACGTCGGCGTGCATAAGTGCCCCTTGTCGATCGAGTCGATTGGTCTGAAGCACGCCGAGATTAGAGTCCTGCTTAGAGCTCTGCCCCTTTGTACGATAGATCTGACGATCCGCGTGCCGTCATCCGTATCAGTTACCTAACAAACTTGCGAATCCAATAACTACCCAACCTGACGTCTCACTTAAGTGCTCTTCAATTCGCCCTGGGGTTTTTCTTCTTTTTTTTTATATCCAAATATTCCTTCCCCTGTTTCGGTTTCGATTCCCCTGAGATACCCTCATTTGACTAGTCTCGCGTTGCTTTTTCTGGATCTGGCTGGTTCAGATCGTCCATATCTTCCTCCGTCAGCTCAAGTATCTCGACTTATACACGAGACCTTTCGAACCCGATTACCTCGATTTTGATATTTCGAGTGCCGTTACATCATCGCGCTCCCACAGGACGCCTCTACCGCCTCGACAATCGTATCCGATAAATGGACATTACTCGCGGTGCTGTTGTTCAGGATTCTTCATTGACGTTCTCGGCTCAGCCGCAATGCCCTTACTTGACGCCCACTCAGGTCCCTCATATGGCACACTCGATCAAATGGAGAGACGTGATCAACACGAAGGAGAACAACTCCTTCCCGCAGGATACGAAAGCGATGACCATGGCAGTGAGATAACATCGGATGACTCGGTGCAGGAAGGTGTTCGGAAGATTGAAGCCATCAGCTTGACTTGGACAACGAAGTCTTTGGTTGTGGCTTACGTCAGGTATGCGCGAGATGTATTGTGTAGTTGTTTTGATGAAAGTGAACTGGTCGCACTAACTCGCTGTAGTATCTTCCTGATGGCGTTCTGTACTTCCTTAGAGGGCCAGACCACTATGTCACTCTCTGCTTATGCAACCAGTGCATTTAGCAAGCACTCCTTGATTTCAACTGTTCTTGTCGTCCAGAATGTAGTCAATGGTGGGTAGTCTTATACGTTGCGGTCTGTTTTCACTCAGCTGACAAGAATGCAGCTGTAATCAAGCCTCCCATGGCTAAGATAGCCGATGTCTTCGGTCGCTTCGAAGCGTTCTGCGTGTGCATCTTGATATATGTTCTCGGTTATATACAAATGGCTGCTTCGACCAATGTCCAGACTTATGCATCGGCTCAGATATTTTATTCCGCCGGTTCGACAGGCTTGCAAATCCTCCAACAAGTGTTCATTGCGGACAGCAGTAGCCTTCTCAACAGGGCATTCCTTGCCCTCTTGCCAGAGTTTCCGTTTCTGGTTACAGTTTGGATTGGACCAGCAATAGCTGATGCGGTGATACGCCACTCGTCATGGCGTTGGGGTTACGGGATGTGGTCAATCATTCTGCCTGCGTCGTTTCTCCCGTTAGCGCTGACGTTATTGTTGAATCAACGCAAGGCTAAAAGACTAAATCTCATTAAACAAAAACACGCTCCTCGGGGTAGCTTCCTTGCTGTTGTTCGTCGTACCTGGTACGACCTGGACATGTTTGGTTTGATACTTCTTTCGGCGGCAGTTACATTGATCTTGGTGCCTCTCACACTTGCCGCTAATGCTAAAGACGGCTGGAAGAACGACAGTATCCTGGCAATGATTGCGGTTGGCATAGTTTGTTTAATGGCGTTGCCGCTGTGGGAGACGTCGAAAAGGTTTGCACCCAAACCACTTCTCTCCCTACACCTTCTCAGGCAGCGCACAGCGCTCGCTGGCTGCGCTTTAGCCTTTTGGTACTTTAGTAGGTTATCCCCCGCTGTAGCATTCGTGCGTTGCTTTTCTCCTAACATAACCCAGTGGCGTTCTATTTCTCGGTTCAACCGTATCTTTACTCTTATCTTCAAGTGGTCCAAGGGTATGATGTCGCTACGGCTGGTCGTGTGACGCAGACGTTTGCCTTTACGTCGACCATCGCTGCTTTCTCAGTATCCTTATTGATCAAGTACACGCGACGTTATCGCATTTATGTGACCATTGGAAGCGCCATATACATGTTTGGTCTCTTATTGATGATGCTTTACCGCAAAGAAGGGAGCTCATCAACGCTAATTCTTGGGACCCAGATTGTGGTGGGTATGGGAGGCGGCCTCCTCAACGTGCCTGTCCAGCTGGGAGTTCAAGCATCTGCTAGCCATCAGGAGGTTGCGGCTGCTACGGCAATGTTTTTAACATCTATGGAGATGGGTGGTGCAGTTGGCGCTGCGATCTCAGGGGCTGTCTGGACGCACAACATTCCGCGGAAGTTGCGGCGTTACCTCCCTGATGAGAACAAGGGAGATGCCAAGGAAATATTTGGGAGATTGGACAAGGCTTTATCTTTCCCTATGGGATCACCGGTTAGAATTGCCATCAACAGGTCTTATCAAGAGACTATGAATAAACTGTTGGTGTTGGCGCTGATCGTGACAATACCGTTGATTCCCTTGAGTCTTTTGATGAAGAACTATAGGTTGGACAAAATCAACTGCGAACCAGTGGACGGGCCTAACGGTGACCATCCAATCCCAGACAATGGACAAGGCCTATCGGAGAATGAGTGCGAATCAGAAGGACACTCGAAACAACCATGAAGTGGCCTGAATACTCTCAGTCTCTCCAGCGCCCTCTGATATACATTCAGGGGTACCACCAATAAATCTGGCATATGGGACAGTTCCACGATTGTTGTGGGTCATTTGGACAGGGCATCGGGGCCCCTCCCTACTGCAACAGAAGAACATACCAGACTACGCGAAGCAGTTTGTGTGGTGTTCCATCCGGCCCGATCCCAAATCAAACACTATGTGACGTGTCCATACAAGGTTATGCGCATATGCGTCTACCGCATCGCCGGCTAGAAGCGCCGGGGCGCTGTTTATATGCCATCGGGTATGTGGGCCGACCAGCGTTCTGCTCTCTCATCCCGAGGGTAAGCGGATTTCAGTATATTGAGTCTCTATATGTCTTCCACATAGAGCCGTACATACTTCAAGTCAGCGACTACCCTAGAAGTCTCTGAAGGAGTTTATATAGACATTATGAGATTATGACTAGACTTAGATGAAACGTTTCAATGCACGTGCTTTCTCTTTGATCCTTTCCTTTGTAAATCCCTAGCTAAAAGAACGCGGATGGCATTATACCTATAGCTCAAATAGGAACATTATGAGAGGGGAAAATTGAAAGGTGGTCTGAAGAGGAATTATGGTTGGGGGCGTCAAACAGCCATATTCCCGATAAATGACACCAATTAGCAAAAGGTGATATCATCGAGTCATGTAATACAGCGCTTGGAAAGGATGGAGTAGGATCCCCTCATACGTGGTACCGTTCATTTACCTTAATGAACGGCGGTATGTGATGGTTACTAACTGGACTGGTGCATTTACCGCCAGTCGATGATTGGACTGTGACAGTGACACTTCCATGCCTAAGGTTTGAATACAATTATACCTCAAAGTGGTTGTTCTCCTCTTCTTCCCACTTCTCCTAACCCTTCATTCCTGATATAGTTGAGTTGAGCCTGTAGTCCCTTGATTGGATCTTCATCCTCTGGGACTTTAACTCTCCTCGGTGGTGGGGTGTTGCGTCTATCATATCACTAGTCACTACTTTACCCTCCCAGGTTGTTTTGCCGCCGCCCCTCCATTTCTCCCCCTCCTTTCGCCGTTCCCAATTTCGTCTCATTTCTCGAGATTTCTAAGAGCAGAGAATAAAGAATTTGGGAGGGGAAAAGGAGTTCAAAGTGCTCTTGCGACATCAAGGGCCTTCCTTGGAATTGATCCGTGCGGTTTCTCCGGATTTTTTTTTTCTCTCTTCTGCCTCTTCAGGTATATAACTAAAGAGGGAAATAAAAAAGGAAAAAGAAAAGAAAAGGACTTGTAAGGTTTGTGAAATCACTGTTTATATCCTTTATAACTGTGCCTTTAATTTTTGTAGTCATTTTGGCTCTTTTTTTTAAAAAAAAAATAGTATTTCTCAATTCATGTTCCCAGCAGAATGATTTCTGCCTGTCTGGCAATACACTTCCCAATGAAAACGTGCTAGTCGCAGTGTCTAGACAAATAGGCCGACGTGAGCTAACGGTGCGGGTTGCCCCATCCATGGCAGCTTTCTTTCTTTCTACCTAAGGTACTCTCCGAACTAGTGCTACGGTCCTATCGCCCTCCACCTCTGCCTCCCACATTGGCTACGTCCACCAACCCTTCACCGTCGACATTCACCGCACCACAACTGCCGTAACTCCTGGTTGCTGCCATTCTCGTCCAGCGCTTCCTGTAATCCCCCATCTCTCCCTTTTTATATTCTCTCCCCACAACCGTTCGACAACCGGCTCCTCCTCATACCTCTCCCTATTCTCTTCACCGCATCTTCCTCCTTTCGTTTCCTCGTCACCTCGGGTCTAGACACCCTTGGAAGATTATCTGCACAGTCACTTTGCAGAGCCTCAGGTGCTTCCAGGTATACAATATGGTTGTCGCCACTATCAAGTACGTTTGCTGGCTCCTTTTGATAAGCATTCTCATTGCCTCCCCCCCCCTTTCTGATGCCGCACCCTTCTTACCGAGATTGGTTCCTTTATCAATCAGCGGTCTGCTAACTACGGTCATTTCTCTTCGTCAGGTGTGTTGTCGTCGGTGACGGTGCTGTGGGCAAAACATGTCTCCTGATTTCGTACACAACAAACAAGTTCCCCTCGGAATATGTTCCTACCGTTTTCGATAACTATGCTGTCACTGTCATGTAAGTGAACCCGATTGCTTCGAGCCGTGATCGGCGCAACGACTTCCCCGGAGAGTTCGCGCCTGTCATATATCCCGACAGACAGTGGCCTTGATAACGCGTCGTTGGATCCATCGCCCGGGTTTGATTACATGTCAATTTCTCGCAATCAATTGACTAACCCGACGCCTTCATAGGATTGGCGATGAGCCGTACACTCTGGGGCTTTTCGATACTGCTGGTCAGGAGGATTATGACCGTCTTCGTCCCCTTTCATACCCCCAAACCGACGTTTTCTTGGTCTGCTTCTCCGTTACGTCCCCCGCTTCCTTCGAGAACGTGCGCGAAAAGTGGTTCCCCGAAGTTCACCACCATTGCCCTGGTGTTCCCTGCCTGATCGTGGGTACCCAAACTGATTTGCGCGACGATTCCGCTGTCCGCGAAAAGCTTTCCCGCCAGAAGATGCAGCCCATTCGTAAGGAAGATGGAGACCGGATGGCCAAGGAACTGGGTGCCGTGAAATATGTCGAATGCTCCGCTCTGACCCAATATAAACTCAAGGATGTTTTTGACGAGGTGAGTCGGGGTAATGCTATTGGCTGTGCTGCTTGCATTGTGTACTGACGGAATGAACAAGGCAATTGTCGCCGCCCTCGAGCCTGCTCCTAAGAAGTCGAAGAAGTGCGTTTTGCTGTAATTGAACACGCATCTTTCTAGAGCAGGGTTAGTTCTCCCCAGCTGTTACCCAGATCGTGTTGCTGATCCATCCTAGCTACATCGCATATTTCGGGAAGATCGAGGTTTTGAAGCGCATAAACTAAACTATTATGGATATCAAGGGTCACAGCTCATGAGCCGATTACCATCTGTTACCCAATCTCGAGACGATATTTCTAATGATTGCCATCCTCGTATTCTTTCGTTGCCCAATTTATGGCATTCATTGATCCGATATACCCTGGGATATTTTGACCTCCCAACTCTGCCGCGGAGACTATCGACGAACCGAACCGCTTTACCTTCATCTTTCAGCCGGCTTCCCTTTACCAAGTTCTCCTTACCTTATCCTCCTACTGCCTTATCATTTTCTGTCCCTTCCTTCTCTTCCTTTGTCCATCTTCGATTCTCTATTACCACTCATCGTCTCTATCGGCGTTGGAAGTCGAGGCGTCTTGTTTTGGCTGGCTGATGGTATTGATCTGTTTCTTTATATTCGCGATTTGTTGTCACGTCCGCACCTTCTGTCACGTTGCTGTGCCATTTTATTGTTGTCATGTTACAGTCTTGAACTAGATAGCACAGATACATCAGTGACCACCAAGGCTTTGGTACTCACAGACCATGGCGTAATCAGGTCCAATGTAATGAAGATTGTCATTATTGGTCGCATGCTCCAGCCGCCAATAGCTACTTGTCTGGAAACGGGAGCGTGGATGCTATCCATCTCGGATTTTACAATCGGTCCAATGTTTTGACATGTTGTGACTGGTTCGTGAAATCGTTCGAAATCTTTTTTTTCAAACATGTCCGTACAAATTCTCATATCTATTTTTAAAAGACACGATGCTCTCCGCTTACTGCCACTAATGACTCTAGATTACGGGTGCCTGGCGGAACATGTAGGTCTCTAAACAAATTCTAGTGAATTTAAGCCGAACTTATTCCATCTGTCTGTAACGGGAAACCTCTCAGCTAGGACCTGAACAGGGTACAAAAGCCCAGTGATTTATCCTGAGTCTAAAATGTGCTCGTTATCATCTGTCTGATGATGACGAGTGGAGGGGTGATAGGTTTCTTGCTGAACATATGGAATATGGTGAAGGTCCGGATGGAACCGAGGAATGTGCTGTGTTGTGGTGGTGGATATGTAATCTCAATCATCAGTGAATGTGATGATTTTGTCTATATCTTAATAACCCATTTCACACTGTGAATGACTGCTTGTAGTGCCCAATCATAGCTTCTCCGGTATGATTCATCTTACATTTAGTATTTATTCATCACTAACTACACCTGTTTGCACATCAAATGTAAGTCATTTATAGCGTCATAGTATCTGGTTTACAGCTCGTCTTTGCCTTCTTTCCTCGCTTCTCCCTCCTTGGCAGACGTTTCGATCTTCTCTTCCGTGCGTCCATACCATCCTCCCAACTCTTCGCCAGCTCCCGCCTTGACCATGCTGGTGATGATCTCAAAGGCTACCTGGGCAGCCGCAAGAGCGGTGGTCTCTCCCTTGTTGTCGTAGCTTGGCGATACCTCGACGATGTCCGCGCCGACAATGTTCAACTTCTCAATGCCGCGCATGATCCGGATGAACTCACGGGTGGTCCAGCCGCCAGGCTCGGGAGTACCGGTCCCGGGGGCAGTCGCGGGGTCAAGCACGTCGATGTCCACCGACAGATACACGGGTTGCTCCGAATCCAGACCGATGCGCTCAATAATCTTATCTACGATGCCCATGGGGCCTAGGTCGTCAATGTCGTCAGCATGAATGCGCATGAATCCCTGCTCGGGGCCCGGGTTGGTGTAGTCGCTATCAGTGACACCCGTCAAACGGGTGCGCAGACCGGCATGAGCAGAGGTCGAGTTGCAAATGAGGCCCTCACGACTCGCCTTGTGGAAGAAACTGCCATGGTTAAATGCCGACTGCTCTGATGTCCAGTATGCCGAGTAGCGAACGGGGTTCCAGGTGTCCAGGTGCGCATCGAAGTGCAGCACTGTGATGGGCTTCTGGTAGATTTGATACAGGGCACGGAGAGCTGGTAGCGCAACACTATGATCACCTCCCAGGGTTACCAGCTTCGCCTTCCCAGAAGAGATACCCTTAGTGCCGTACTTGGAGTCGGCAGGGGTAATGGGAGGCCGTGAGCCTAGCTCAAGGAAAGCTTCATACATTTGGCGCTCCGCTACGCTATTGTCGAAGGGAATGATAGGGATATCCCCACAGTCCTTGACGGTAGCCCATGAGCTGTAGGGATTGATGCCTGCACGGGTGTTGTAGCCTGTACCAGCCATCTGGCGGGCACTGGCAGCACGAATGGCACGGGGACCAAAACGAGCTCCTGGAGGAGGAAGTTAACCTCTGCGATTTACGGGGTCAAGTCGGAGTGCATACCTGGTCTGTAACTGACAGCGGTATCGAAGGGGGCTCCGATGACGGCGATATCATATCGCTCATCTGGTTCGATTAGACATTTGACGGTTTTTAAGTGCGCAAAGCTAGCAATTCCAGAGAATGTCCACTGGCGTTTATCAGTTAGGTTTACCACTGTGTAAGATAGAGCCATATGTGTACCTCTTGATCCCATTTCTTCAATAGCTCCTCACGCAAGTGCTCGGGAACCACTTCAGTGTCGTCGTGATGGGCGTGAGATAAGGCAGTGCCGGCCAGAGCCAGCAACCCCAGGGTATATTTCATTATGAATTGTATGGTGCCACGGGGCAGAACAAAACAGGTCAAGGGAGTTATTTGAAAAATACAGAGGAGAGGAAATGAATCTGGGGAAGGTTGTTTAGTAGTTATAGGCGCATAGATAGTATGGAGATTGTTGAAAGCGTTATCGATAGGAACGACCACCGTCCATTCATTTGGCGCCGAGAAGTGGGCCTTGGGGCCTCAGGCGCGCGGACTATCGTGCGGACTTTCCCTTCTCGTCACTTTTCTTTTAGTTCCAACGTCCGTCGCTCGCTCTTCCTCTTTTCGTCCTCCGCATTTATATTGGTCCGATCTGCGATAGTTGGCTTGATCCATAGATTGTAGAATCTAATCGAAGCCGATCATATTCGAATTTCGTCTTTAGAAGCTCAGGATGCCATGCGTCGTGTTGTTGTGACGGGTTTAGGAGCTGTTACTCCATTGGGAGTAGGTAAGTTGTTCTATATTATTGCTATGCAGATGTCTAAGTACACTGTACTGTACAATCCCTTTTTGGTCCGCGGTTTTTACCAAGCTTGTTCTTCCGTCGTGATTCTTCAGTGTCTACTTGAAAGTCTCGTTCGAAATGTCTCCACTTCCGATATTCCGAAAGGGGAAAGTCTTGGATACCGGGTCTAATCGTCATGGACATTCCTAGTTAGGAAAGTTAGATGGAGACTACCTGCAGTCCACACGATTAATAAATCCTTGTGCTTAATATGCGCGGATCGCTAAAGTATAGTCACTCTAGGTATCCGTCATACATGGAAACGTCTCTTAGATGGTCACTGCGGCATTGTTAATGTCAACCATCGCGATTCTAGGTTCGCGGACTTACCATGTCAGATCGCCGCCCCAGTGCCGAATGGCAAGAGGCAGAATGGTGGCTGGACTGCCTCAGAATGGCTAAGTAAGGATGTATGTGCAGCGTCTCTTGTTTATCTACATTTGCATGTTTTTGAAGAGAAGGGCAGGTCTGATGCCATTAATAGGAAGAGCGTAAGATGGCGCGTTTCGCCCAGTATGCTTTGGCTGCTTCGGAAGAAGCTCTTGAAGATGCAGGCTGGAAGCCCACTTCGTTTGAAGACAGAGAATCTACGGTAGACATCTACAAGACATCATGTAACTCAACAATGCTGATGACCGTGTAGGGCATCTGTCTCGGATCCGGAATTGGCAACTTCGATGAGATCTACGATACCGTCGTGGCATATGAAAAAGGAGTATGTCGTAAACGAGTTTTGTATCGCCACTACATCTATATTAACTCCTTCTAGGGCTACAGAAAGGTGTCTCCTTTATTTGTCCCGAAGCTCCTCATCAACCTCGGCGCTGGCCATATCTCCATGAAGTATGGATTGATGGTATGTCTAGTCGCAAACAGCGACTTTACCACTGCTAATGGTTTGACAGGGTCCAAACCATGCGGCTACAACCGCATGCACCACTGGGGCACATTCCATTGGTGATGCTGCTCGCTTTATTGCATGTGGTGATGCGGACGTGATGTTAGCAGGCGGTGCCGAATCTTGCATCCATCCGCTAGCTGTTGGAGGCTTTGCCCGGGCGCGGAGCCTCGCAACGAGCTATAATGATGCTCCTGAGAAGGCGTCCAGACCGTTCGATGCGGATCGCGAAGGGTTCGTGGTCGGCGAGGGCGCGGCAATAGTTATCTTAGAGGTACTTGTCGTCACACCCTACATTGATTCACAGCACTAACTTGCAGCTAGGAGCTAGAGCATGCAAAGGCAAGAGGTGCACGTATCTACGCCGAGTTGAGAGGCTATGGCTGTTCGGGTGATGCACATCATATAACAGCGCCCAAAGAAAACGGGGAAGGGGCATTCATGGCAATGAGAAAAGCTCTAAAGAACGCTGGCATTTCACCGTCTATGGTTGACTACGTTAATGCACACGCCACTTCGACTGTAGTCGGAGATGCGGCAGAAAACGCCGCGATCAAGGCACTCCTTCTAGGCCCTGAAGGAAAGCGAAATGCCCGGGATGTGAATATTAGTAGCACCAAGGGCGCTGTGGGTCACTTATTGGGCGGCGCTGGCGCCGTAGAGGCCTTGTTCACCGTCCTTGCTATTCATGAGGTAAGTATGACTATCCGTGCCGTGGAAATACTCTAATTTGCTGTATCAGAATAAAATGCCTCCTACGGTCAACTTGGAGCGTCTCGCCATCGGATTCGACTGCAATTACGCCCCGAAGCAGACTCAAGAGCGCCGGATAGATGTGGCACTGACCAACAGTTTCGGCTTTGGAGGGACCAACAGTACTCTCTGCTTTTCCAAGCTATAGAAAGCACTTACTGAATATTCGATTTGGATAATTGCAAGCTATACTGCATGTAAAACAAGCACACACTTGTACACTAAGATAATAGAGATACCATTTTATGGAAACTATAAATAACCTGCCCCCTGGTGCTTGAGGTAACATGCGCTGGTTTTAAAATCGACTGCGACACAAACTCTCCAGACGCCAGACCGTAGCTCTAGTATGACTTGATATAAAGGATGGGTTTCATTGTATAACTGTCGCGGCAAGAACATTAATAGCTATGAAGAAGCAGTAGGAGGTTATTTATTACTAAAGTACGCTGCCACTAAACCAAGGCTCCGTATGGTCATTATCCTCTAGAACTATCATAAATTTACAACCTCGAAAATTGGACTCCTATTATCCTGGCAACCAACACGTGACATCTCAATGCGGAGCAGCCCCGGACTCACCTCGACTATATCACGCGTATCTCAAACCTCACGACAAAGCAGCGTTCTGCCCTTCAATATCTTGTTAAACCATTCCACTCGTTTACTATCACTATATTTTTCTTTACTACAAGAGTTGATCTACTTTCTTGGTCGTTGGTGGGTTGAGCATGGCTACCAACGGTGAGACCAAAGGTAGATACCACTAAATCCTCCTCGGGCCGAACTTAAGTGGTTACAACATCATATAGAATGATTCGTGCTGATATTGTATTTTTTTCTTATTATAGCGCCGTCGTCTGGCAGCTTAGTCGATGCGTCCGGGTACAAATTCTCTGAAAAAGACACCAAGCCCGGCAAGATTAGGTTGAAGAAGTCAGCTAAGTTAGGCAAGAAGAAGGGCGATGGTGTGTTTACTCCATTCTACTTGGCTTTCATCTTAATTTGTGGAGTGTGAGAGAAGGAGCTGCGGGTTGTATATTTGCTAATAGTTTAACCGCGTGAAGATGCGCCCGACTCCCCCGGTTCATCACCTATTCTCCCTGAGATCGACGAGAAGACTATGGCTGCTTTTCCTACGGGAAAACCACGAGAAGAGGATCACTTAGAAACGGTCATATGTAAAACTTGCAAGAGGCCGGTCCTCAAACAAAACGCTGTGGAACATATCCGAGGTTGTATTCGGGCGAAGCAGGAGAAGGCGAGGCGAAAGAAGGAAGCGCGCGATGCGGCTAACCGGGCCAAGGCGGGTGATAAGGATGGCGACGAGGATGCTGCGGGCGGCGATGGTGATGATTCCATGAAGGGTCAGAAGAGCGCTAAGAAAAGCGCCGTTAAGGGAATGGCGGAGGATGGGACGAAGAAGGGAAAGAAGCGCAAGATGGAGGGAGAAGACGATAAGGACAAGGAGCCTAAAAAGAAGAAGAAAAAGGAAGAACCCAAACCCAAGGTGCCGAAGCCGAAAGGACCCGTTGATGTTGAGAAGCAGTGCGGTGTTACTCTGCCGAATGGTGCTCAGTGTGCGAGATCTTTGACCTGTAAGAGTCATTCCATGGGCGCGAAGCGAGCAGTGCCTGGTCGTTCATTGCCGTACGATATGTTGCTTCAGGCATATCAGAAGAAGAATCAGGCTCGTCAGCAAAGTGAGTATTGCCCGTATAGCTGGAGGATACGTTTCCGGATAGAGCTGATCAGTCTTGCTTTTCAGAGGCTGCAATTGATGCCAATGCTCCTCTGCAGGACGATATGGACAACAATGGTCCTGTCGACTCGGATGAAGAGAAAGATGCTGTGATGGCAGCTATCACTCGCTCTCACCCACAGCCCATCATCACTCACACTCTGATCTCGACTAAGAAAAAATACCAATATGTCCGCATTAAAGAGATGCTATCCCACGCTCTCGGTGGTGCGCGCGGTGGTGGACTCTTTTCAACCGGCGATAGCAATACCACCTCCAATGACGGAAACCTCTTCGCTCCTGTGGACGACGTGGTCATGACATCTCCGGTTATTACAAGCGCAGATAACACAACGGATGTGGACAATACGACTCCAGCGCCAGCCGCCAAGAAACTTTCAATATCAGCGAGCTCGTAGATACACATGCTTGCTGGTGTTTTGTGTTGATCTAAGGAGCAGCGATGAGTGATGATCCTTTCTTTCCACTACTTGGGTATGACTGCCACATCGTGGTGTCTCGAACGGCGTTCAGGAAACCCATGGAATGGGTCTAATTCGGATTTTTTTTTGTGACGATATGATACCCCGGAGTCCATTGCATATACCACTGGCGATGCTGAGTGTAAATTAGTCAGATGCTTTTATACTTCTCTATATCTTGATAGACAGTGTCCTTGGCTTTAAATCTTTGAGTATTCACTATGTCTAAATATCTGCTAATAGTATTGCACACATTTTTGCTCAAAGATATCAAACACAATTGTACATCTTGTAGATTGTCATGAGTGGAATGTGCTACAGCTAGTACCCCAAAAGGGATAATGATTACTGCCTGAGGCCACAACAAGCTATCACCAACCACGGCGGGATAAAGACGGGTTTAGCTCCATATGCGGCCACCGATCTTTTGAAGGCGGAACACATGCAGCTCGCCCTTCAGAGCACGCCACCATCACTGCGACATTCAGGTCTACTGGGGAAGCTATAGCTTCTGCGCCTACGGGCGGAGGTCTTGATCTGCTTGCGCTGGACTGCTAACAACTATACACTTTTACCTACACGCTCCATCTGCGCCACGCATTCCCTAAATACAATCAAACCCTTTCACAATGTCCAACTCCGTTCCCGATCTCGATGCTGTCGGGATCAAGGCAGAGCCCGAACTAGCAGACCAATTCCGCCGCGAAGTCGCGACTCTCCTTGGCCGCAACAACCTCAACTTTCCCGGCGCACAGCCCGTCAGTTTCTCCAACAAGCATCTCCTCGAGCTCCAACGGCAAGACTACTATGTCTGCGAGAAAACAGATGGCATCCGTTGTCTGATGTACTTTGCCCGTGGCGATCCAGACTCAGAGGCACCCGAAATCCACTACCTAATTGACCGCAAGAACGACTACCGTTACGTGCCGGGCTTGCATTTCCCGCTCCCCAATGATGAAAGTTTCCAGTCATACCACGTAGACACCCTGGTTGACGGCGAGTTGGTGAATGATACATATGAGGATGGAACGCAGCAACTCAAATACCTCGTTTTCGATTGTCTGGTTCTGGACGGGCAGAGCCTGATGCATCGCACGCTGGACAAACGACTTGCATATTTCAAAGAGAAGGTCCTCAAGCCATATAATGCTCTCTACCAGCGCTTTCCCGAGGAGAAACAACATCGCGTTTTCGCAGTTGAAGACAAATCTACCCAGTTCAGCTACGGTATCGAAATGATGTTCCGAGAGATCATTCCCAAGGTCAAGAAAATCCACGGTAATGACGGTCTCATCTTTACCTGTCGCAGTACACCCTACCGCATCGGTACGGACGAGCACATTCTCAAGTGGAAGCCTCCGGCCGAGAATACCATTGATTTCCGTATGCGTTTGGAGTTTCCGGTCCTGGAGCCAGATACAGATGATGAGGCTGATGGTATTTCGGAGCCATATACGGATTACGATGCTATGCCTATCTTTCATTTATTTGTGATGCTTAATTCCAACGAGTACCGGCACTTCGCAGAGATGTTTGTCACCCCATCTGAATGGGAGGAGCTTAAGGCTCTGGGGCTTCCCCTCGATGATACCATCGTTGAATGCTTCAAGGATGAACACAATCGCTGGCGCTATCACCGTCTCCGAGACGATAAGGCTGATGCGAATCACATCTCTACCGTTGAGAAGGTCCTTGAAAGTATCCAGGACCGTGTGACGGAGGAAGATCTTATCCGCGCTGCGCCGGCGATCAAGGCAGCATGGAAGAAGCGCCAGGCTCAGATGGCTTCGGAGGACGAAGAGCGGAAACGAAGGGCAAGACAGGCGCCGCCACATGCAAACGGGAACGGGATGAAAAGGAAATTCGAGGATTCATAGTTTCCTTCTAGTTTTCTTTGAACAAACCTACTTGTTGGATAGTATTTCACTTGGCTTCGGTTCGGGATTGCGAGGAGTCTGGCGTTGATCTCTGCTTCTTTCATGCATATGAACTGGAGGGGAGCTGTCTGTCGGCAAGCTTAAAATGAGGGAGGCTGGCCTGGGGATTATTGTACAAGTGTGCTTTCTATGATGCTATGCGCTCTTGCTATTCCACTGTTCTCTGGATATATTGTATCGCACAATATCCAGCTAGATCTTGATCGTTAAAATGCGGTATAACTCGTTTTCTAGTATCGATCAAGCTCCTGTTTCACGTACAGGATCTCGAAGCGTGATGCATTCAATGCTCAAAGTTTGATTTTCATTGAAGGAAACAGCTACATTGCTCAGGTATAAAAAACTGGATACAACAATGTTACATCATACGCTCTATCGTTTCTTGATGCTCACGTCAATGTTCCCAATCGCCCATGCAGCGGCGAATACAGTCAGCAATCCAGTAGTGATGGTCACGGGCTTGCGCATTCCATCCCAGAAGGAATAATCATAGGTAACCTGTTAGAGATTAGCATTCCGTCTAGTGGAGCATAATATAACGTTGTATACGTACCACCAACTGAGCATCACGAGCCTCATCGGACAAATTCTCTACCGTCAGGGTCAATGCGGTACGTCCCAATGTGTCCATGAAGGTCTTGTAGGGAGACACGTGAGACTTGATCTGATCGGCAGGGGGAAGACCATTGTTGGAGGCAGTCTCGATCGCCTCGTACCGGACATTACGGGCTCCCTCGGGAAGAATGATCCGAACAACGACCTTCTCATACTGAACACCTTCAGGCACCTTGGGTCCCTCGATGAAAGGAACCTTGAGCACATACGAATCGGCACCGGCGACCCGGCGAAGGAAGGTAGAAAGCTCGTTGTTCCAACCAACACGGAAGCTGTAGTTCCAGCCACCGAAGACGGGAAACCGGGGGCGAAGTTCTAAAGAAGCATCACGCTTGGGAGGCTTGCCAGGGCGATAGCGGCTCGTGGAGACATTACCGATGTCATCAATGAAGTAGGGGTCCACCGAGCCAGGCTTCAGCGGATATTTAAGTTCACGGATGGCGGAAGAAGGCAGTTGCTGGAAGTTAGAGAGTGTCCACTCGACGCGCGAGAATTGATTCACGAGGTTGGAGCCGTTATTGCGAAGCCAGTAGCGCTCTTCTGTCGCCAGGTTTCCACCCCAGTGAGATACCTCCAAGTCTCTTTCCAGCAGCGAGGCTGTAATTACTGGCTTGGTAAACTCGTAACGGATGGTAATCGGGTAGGCAGTGCCGGGGGTGACCTCGGCCGTGTCATAAGGGCCGTAAGTGTAAGTAGTGCCTTGACGCTCAGGATCCGAGCCTGACTTGAGACCAGAGGTAGTGGTGTAGTCAGGAACATTGGTGCTAGGAAGCTTCAGTTTCGTCTTCTGGGTCACAGTTGGGTAGGCTGAGTGGATATAGGCAGAAAACGAGTAAGTGAGGTACTGTTTATCAGCCTGGTTGATAGCGGCAGGGCGCGGGCTCAGGGAGGAGAGGAGGTAGTAAGAAATTCCCAAAGTAACCTGCGATTTGGGTGCAAGTGGTTTGGGGAGGTCAATGGCGAAGTACTTGGTGTCGCTGTGAGAAAAGCAATCCATAAGTATTAGCTTACATGCTGCAAATAGTGTCACCAGATTAAGTTACCGTGGCTTCGTCATCACAATAATAACTGGCCATTGGTAGCTTCAATTGCGTACTCACCTGGTTGAATCGACAGGCAATACGCCCACATCGAAAGGCCCCTTCTCCGGCGCCTTTCTATCTCTGACTTCCAATCCTCCGACCTTGTCGAATACCTCCGATGGGAAGGCCAAGTAGTAGGTGTTCTGCGGTTCTTTATCGACGTTCTCTACCACCACGTTGACAGTCTCCCGAGCATAACCTTTCTCCAAGTTGGTATTCCGGACCAAGTTTACATTTTTGAATGCCTGGGGAGGTTGGAAGGAGGAATGGGTCCCCGCTGAGGATTCGGCGCATACTATGCTGCTGGTTGACAGGAGGAACCCGCAGAGCGCGGTGAATGCTGTAATCGGCCTCATTGTGACGATGGGCGGGCGTGCAACTGACCGCGCCTAGGACACAATGTCTCTCACCAGGAGATAGTCCTAAAAAGAAGAAGGAATGTAAATATATGGAACGAATTGAACAGGGGGGAAAGGGAAGGTAGCGCGGCGAGATTGCTGAGGTGTCCCGATGCTGCTTATATTCCGGTGACCGCTGCGGCCAAAGACGCTATCCTTTCTTATCGCCGATAAGTCCTACGTACTCCTCTCCTCTACATTTTCCAGCTACTTTCTTTCTCCACTCTTACTGTCAAGCTACCCTCACGGCATAGCGTCTACCTAATCACTATGCTTGCTTCGCGAGCTGCAGCTCGTCATTGCTGCAGGAGAGCCAGGGTACCGGTATTGGCTCCTCCCGCAAGACGCCTTCATGGCCTTGCGCAAAGCAAGTTTCTCCAAGTTTCGGAGGAAGTTCGCGACGCCGTAGCCACAGGAAAGCCTGTGGTAGCTCTAGAGTCCACGATCTACACTCACGGTATATACCTACGCTTTGTTTTTTTATCCATAAGGGGAGAATCTCTTGCTAATCTACATACAGGATTCCCGTATCCTGAGAGTGTTGCTCTTGCGTCGTTGCTGGAAACAGTCGTCCGGGCAAATGGCGGAGTTCCAGCTACGATTGGGATCTTGAATGGAGTGGCTAAGGTGGGCCTTAATGCCGAAGAGCTTATCGAGCTGGCCTCTACCGCAGAGAGCAAGAGTGCACTGAAGGTTTCCCGCAGAGATTTGGGTTACATATGCGGCCTGGTCGGTTCATTTGTGCGTCGCCATGAAAAACGTTTCTGACAATACTAGGGCCTGGCTGGGAAACGACTACACGGTGGTACAACTGTTTCGGGCACGATGATCCTTGCCCATCTGGCTGGTATTAGGGTTTTTGGGACTGGAGGTCTTGGTACGTCTCTGCACCACCCTAGGTCTATTTACCAGAAACTAATCGATTTTAGGTGGTGTCCACCGTGGTGGAGAGAATTCAATGGATATATCTGGTATGTTCTGCTGGCAAGACCTAGCGGCCAACGTCTAACCGCTTGGTAGCCGACCTCACCGAACTGGGACGAACCCCGGTTGCTGTTGTCAGCTCTGGATGCAAAAGCTTCCTAGACATCCCACGAACTCTGGAATACCTTGAAACCGAAGGCGTTTGTGTCGGGACGTTCGCGGATGGTCGTACTGGCCAGGTAGATTTCCCCGCGTTCTTTACGCGCGACAGTGGCATCAAGAGTCCGAAGATTATTCAT